TCTGTCGGACTGCATGACTACTTAGCTTACAAAAAACCTGAAACTAGGCTAGTTAAAAGGCAGATTGTCCGAGATAAGGGTGTTTATTGTGAAAAGGTTTTTGAGAGATTTTTCTTTTTATTTTTCTGTTGTATGATTATGCTATGCAACAAACAAATGCACACACAATTCACTCATTCGCGAACACTAGGACGACGTTTTTATCACGAGGTAGGGGTATCCTGCAGAAGAGTGTTTATTCAAGGTAGTTTTAAATATCCTCACCAAGGCTAGGTCCCCCAAGGTGTCCCCATTATAGGGTCCCCACTCTCCCAGCCTTCAGACCATGCATGGCACTAGGGTCTTGTCAGTCTTTGGGCCAAAAGAGGAAGGTTATCACCTTGAGTGGTGGTTTCTGACCATACCGGTGGGCTCATGACCCTCACTACGACAAATCGTACAATGCCACCCACTCCCTAAGGTTATCCCACTTGCCCCCAGGTATAGGGGGAACTGTTGTATGCAAGAATTTGTGTACAATTGTTATTTCAAACAATTGCATAAAGTAAACATACAACAGTTATTAAAGTCAAACAATAAAGCATGTTATAAAGCAAGGAAGGGTAAAAGCGTAATTTTAAGTTTTTATTTCTCAAACTAGTCTATCATTAAATGGGATCAACTCTCTAGCTTCCCTAGTGGAGTCGTCATTTGTCGCCGCCGTCAAAAGAGGCGGTCAGAGCGAAAAAACATTGGAAAAGGAAAAGAAGACGATGATTTTTAAGAAAAATCAACTTTGGTCATTACAACTAGAGTTAGGTAAGGGAGTTAGTTACGTGTGGGGAAACCCCACACTCTACAATGCAGCTCACTCTTCTCTCAAAGCACTTTAGAATGCTTTCTAAGACTCTAGAAATGCTTCAGAGGGGTCCTAGGAGAGTATTTTGAGAAGTATGTAGTTAGAGAAGTTGTTGAAGGTTCTGAAAACGAGGAGAAGGTCTCCCCTTTTATAGAAAATCGCACCTATAAGATCGGGACCGTCGTCTCGACTGTCGGGACCGCCATCTCGCCTTTGGCGAATGGAGAGATGTTTGTCTCGCCTTTGGCAAGTGGCGAGACAGCGGTCTCGCCTTTGGCAAGTGGCGAGGCGACGATCTCACCAAACGAGACGGCGGTCTCACCCTTAACCAACGGAGAGACGGCAGTCTCGACCCTTTGGGTGGAATTTCTTATTTTTCATGTACAAAAAGTCTTCCTATTCTAGTATGGAGCCTATTGATCAATCTTAGGGACCTTTAAGGCTTTGCCCATCTTCGAACGGAAGTCTTTTGCTCTTTATTTTGAGACGGGGCAAGATTTGGGGTCTACAGGGTCGATTGAAATTTGAAGAGAAACCAATGAAGGTGGATATTAATCCCTCCAAAGTTCATTTTGAGGCTGGGCAAGATTTGGCAGTGCAACAAGTATGTTTTTATAAGTATAATCCCAATGAAGAACACATACATGTTCTCAAGCGTATTTTACGTTACACTCAGGATACTATTGATTTTGGCTTGCATATGTACAAATCCAATATTGGAAATGTCCTCTCTTACACAGATGCATATTAGGGTGGATGTTTGGATTAGACAGTCTACATCTGGGTATTGTGTTTTCTTGGTGATAACTTGATTTCTTGATCTTCCAAACGACCACCTTCATTATCTCATTATAGTGCTGAGACTGAATATAGAAGAATAACTAATGTTGTTTTTTAATCTTGTTGTATTTGAAATTTTTTTCTATATTTTCATTGTCCAATTCAAAAAACTACATTAGTGTATTGTGACAATGTTAGTGTCATTTATTTATCGGATAATCTTGTATAACATCAACGCATAAAACATATTGAAATGAACATACACTTTGTATGTCGAAAAGTTGCCCGTGGCGAAGTTCGTATCTTTCATGTTTCGTCCCGTTAAATTGCTTATATTTTCACCTAGGCCTTTCGCGCATACTTTTTGATAATTTTTGGAACAGTCTAAACGCTTGTCAACTTCTCACTTCGATCGAAGAGGTGTGACAAATATTATTATGTAAAATAAGTTATTATTATGTAAAATAAATTATTATTATTTTAAAAATATTTTATAATATTAATTATTTAAATATTAACCTAAAATTTAGCACAACCTAAATTATAACTTATACATTCCTATCAATGGAAAGATAAATCACAAATGATTTTTTACAATTATTTAATCGTGGACTAAGATTTTGTTTTTCTCCTGAAATAAACATAAATATTTTATTAAAAATTAAAAGTATCTCGATTTCTTATCTTTCACACTAATATTATTGTATCAATTATAAGTTCGAATTTTAATTTTTTATAATTTTATTTTTTAAAAATATTTGGGTCAATTAAAGGAGAATATATATACTCTATGTATCTCGTAATAATATTATTATTAATTTAAGAATTTAATAAATCGTAATAATATTATTATTAATTTAAGAATTTAATAAAGTTGAAACACTTCCATCAACTTTTTTCATATAGTGAATCACCTGTCCCTAGTTTCTCTCATGAAAATTTAACGAATCGTTTTTTAATCCTTTCTGTTCCTTTGTGAGAATCTCATAAAGTAATCTCCTTTGTGTTGCTTTGTAAGAGTCCAGAAAAAAAAATTCTTATTGACTTGATTTCCTGCAAAAAGTTTCCTTCCTCTTGTTAAGTCCTTCACTTTACTAAAAGATCAGTTGCATCTTTTACTGAAATAAAAAAATTGGATACGTGGGTCTTAAACGTAAAACATAAAGCATATTTTAGCATATGAAGGTCTCTCAAAGTCTTATTCAATTTTTCTCTGGATCTTAACTTTTTTATAATTCCCGATAAACTCTACAATTAAATATTTATTTTAAATCTACTTTAAAAATATTAATTAGTTAGAGTTTGAAAAAAAAAATTGTTACAAAACTGTCTTTAGAGTTTTAATAGAAAAACACATTCTATACGATACAGATCTTTGTTTTTCTTTTTTGTGAAAATTCTTGTTAAAAGCATATATTAATTCAAGATCCTAAAAAAACCCCAGACTAAAAATATTTTAAGGGCTCAATATACATTGGTTACAACAAAGTCTTCTCAGTCATTTTTCTACACCTAAGAAGTCTTCTTTAAAAGTTAACATAATGCACTAATGTTTTTATACCCAAAGCCTAAAATATGACATGGAAGCATAAAATTTTAAACAAAATTGTGTTCACATTTCTTTCACTGCTAAAGGTTATGAAAGCATATGAACAGGTTGAATGTTACTCTTTAACAAAATTATCCTCATAGTTTGTGGAGTGAGAAACAGAACAAGTTACATGAAATTATTTAGTAAAGTTTTCCACAGAGAGTGAGTGTATACGTTACTTAAACACAGTAAGATGAAGAAAACAAAAATATAGTGTGGGACAACTAATTCGTCTCAGAAATTAGTCTGTCTGCACCCACTTGTCACTTCTATGTAGAAAACCAAGATTACTATATATATTCTTTAACCTTAGCCACTGTCAAGCTAGATTATAAATAAATAGTGTTTCTTCTGTCATAACCTTCTTCAAGGTAGATGGATAGTTAATTAATTATGGTATTAACCTCTCCAAATTAAATCAAGAATTTATCAAGTTTTGGGTATGTAATTGAATTAAATGCTTGAAAGAATAATTGTGTCACAATCACAAATAATAATTTTATCTAATTTGAAGAGGATGCTCCAACCAGTTTCTCAACCAATTTTAATGTTAAGCAATACGATTGTTGAATAAAACAACTATGAAGAAAGTGTTTATCTGCTGAGTTTGCTACGCAAACAAAATGCCAAGTTGATGTTTTCTGAAGGCCATTTGAAAGTCTTCTAAATATGTAACTGGTCCTACATAGAAATAAACCACCATTTTCCAATAAAATACCCTTAATTTGGCTTGGATTGTACGAAAGAACCCATTTTCTATGGATGTAATCACAAAGTTGAATTAAGAGAATCTAGAGACTGAGGTGGTACCAGTGTTCATTGGAAAATATTTTGCATGGCCAACCCTTAGCTCACCACTCATCAATGTGTGGAAGTGGAACTCATGAGACTGTTGTGAGTTTTATATACATGTAAGAGATGTGTAAGCACTATCAAGATTACATTTTTTTTACTAATAAAAATAACTATCAAGATTAGATTAGACGAGCACTGTTTGTTGAAGTTTAATAAGTTTTCTACTTTTCTTACACCTCTAAGCATGTCACTCACGCTTTGTTAGTATGGATGCAGTTTACTAAACTATGATCCAGTTTTTTTTATACATAAAGTATGATCTAGTTTAATACTAAAATAATATCTAATTGCATTGTGAAGGGTTGAAATTTGTGGTCCAAAATGTACAACCACCACCACGAGCCACATGTCTCAATGAACAGTTACCTTGGCAACTAAAAAATTTACTTTCCGTCATTACATATCACTTGCAAGTTGCAATAAAACCAAATTCACGATGGACTTTTCAAAATTGACCATCCATTTGACTGTAAATTATTCTTTCAAGCATAATCATACTACCAAAAAAGTCTGAAAGAAAATGGACAATAAAGCTCAACAAGGGGCATGGAATTTTTTTTTTTTTGAATAACTAACTTTAGTACATCATTTATTGATATTACAATAAAAACTCTAGCCTAATTTTAACACTAATTTGTAAAAAGACAAAAATGTTAAGAGGATTTGCTGTTTTCCACTAAAAAAACAAAGTCAGTGTTTCACAAGTAGATTACATGTGTACATACATTACATATCATTAGCCTTTCGCATTACTCTGTGGCTGGTTTCTTTGTCAATGGATGACTCTAAGATCTTGCAGCTGGCGATAATGCTGCCCCCACACAGAAATTATGGTACTCTTTTGTTGTGACGGTCAAATTCAAGTTACCTTGTGATTTGAACTGTTCTATCCGCCAAATTTAATAATACCCTCATTCAACGTGGCATGTGAAAGATTCAGAACTCTGGCAATTCTATTGAATCCGCAGTCCTGGTGAGTATGTCATACCAGAAATCCATGCCGTCATCAAAGCTTGAATCATAAGCATGACTCTGTTGGAAAGTTTCCTCATAGTTAGTAAAAGGGTATTGAAGTGGCATCTCAGTTGAGATCGTCATGGATTGTGATGACATGGAGGGAGTTTCATCGATTGCAGGTTCTGACCAAAAGCTCTCGTCAATCACAGGCATTGTCTCCAGAGACTCTATGTCTTCACACTTGATAGTTTTGCTGTCACCAACTGTGACAGATGAAAAATCACTAGAAGTTGTGCATGCTGATGTTGAGTCCATTTCCCTTAAACTAAAATTGGCAGGTTCTGATTGAGTTATGATACTGGAATTGGAATCAGAACGTTTGATTCTTGGCTTTGTGGCCCTTCTGGAATTTGAATTGGACTGGTCTGCTTTCAGCAGCCTCTTCTTCAAATTGGTGTGCCAAACATTTTTTATTTCATTATCAGTTCTTCCGGGTAATTTTGCTGCAATAGCTGACCACCTGAAAATAAGGATCGCCATGGTTAATTTTATATTCGTGATATAATTGCACGAGATTCGCATTCACTTTGTTTATTCCAGTGAATCAGAAAACTACAAACATTGATGTTGTCCTAATTGAATAGTACACGGACAATAAATTTCATGCTCATATTGGTATGTACGTCTAACACATGTCAAGTTGCATGTGCCATAAACTGCCACACCATTTTGTTTCCTGCGAGGCAGATCTAATCAGAGATTCTTGCCCTCGCAGCCCCACTTTTGTTTTTTTCCTCTACTGGTTTCGATGTTTTATACACTACTTTTGCATTTCAATGATGGCAACAACTTAACGTTATAATCTCTGGGTGTACGTAATTAATTAGTTATGTATAGCTGCATCTATCATAGGTGTGTGTATTGTGGATACAAAATTTCTCCTACACTCTTTATATGATCACTTGCACCGTCAAAGGTGGGATCAAACCTCGATTTTCTCGCACGATACTCGAGTCCCCATTATGAAATAAATATTAATTAACACACCCTTTACATTTTAATTTTTCATCCAAGTTGACAATAATTGCCCCGGCCCCCACCACTTGATCAACCTTGGTTATCTATCAGAGAAACTTAGGAAAAGAAACACAACCGAACATATTCATAATTTCAGCAAATTAAAAAGATCAAAATCATTGAGCAGTGTCGCGTGTAAACTAGGAATTGGATGGATGGCATGTGCATGATGTTTTTGTCTTGATATGCTTTTTGCTTAAAAGTTAAATTAGCATGATTAATGTCATATGGATCCAAGAAAGGAAATGATCAGTGAATACCTGTTCCCCAGGGTCTCATGCAGCTCAATGATAGTTTCTTCTTCCTGAGATGTGAAATTCCCTCTCTTGATATCAGGCTTCAAATAGTTAATCCAGCGCAGTCTGCAACTCTTCCCACACCTCAACAGGCCTGAGCCAATGGTCATATGAATTAGAAGAAAATCAGAGTTCATATCATGACATACCAAGAAATAAAGTGGAACATATAAACATGTTCAATTGAAAAAAAAAAAAAATAATATATATATATATATATATATATACCTGCTTGCTTTGGGAGGGCACGCCAATTGCCATGGCCATGTTTTTGGATGTAAGATGTGAGGAGTTGATCTTCCTCGGGAGTCCAAGGACCCTTCTTCAATCCCATCTTCTCACAGCAAGGTGCTCTCACCATGTTTGTGGTCTTATTTTTTGAAAATAGTGAAGGAAGATGAAGGAATTAATGTAGTGGTAGTACTAGGATGTGCTAGTCTCACTCTAGGAATGGTTCTTTCTCTCTCCTTCAACTTCGTTTCCAAAGACTCGTGCTGGCTATTTATCCTTGGATACTCCGCACGCCATGACTAGAATGGTCCAACAATAGGAAAAACATAATTCTATATTCAAACAATTTAGCAGTTTCCGCGAAAGAGAGGTTCCTCTCTTTCTCTCTCTCACGCGCACACAAAGAGAAAACAGTATAATTTTGTTATATGTATGCATGGAAGTGAGACCTGAGAGTGGTAAATGATTAAGGCCAAATTCCGCACACATTCATGCTAATTTGCCATCCAATTGCATACCTTTATTTCTATATAATTTTATGCCACTTTGTTTTGTGTGTCGACTTAAGTCCTTCTTAATTACCTAATTGGTGACTAAAACAATATCTAATGCAATGTTCTTAATTTATTTACTTTTAAATTTTAGATTAAAACTACTCCCAGCCAATATGATAGTTGTTGAGGTAGATAGGGTGACTAGCATTTTCCTTAGCTAGTTGCAAGTGCAATATATATTATTTTTCACTTTGAAAAATTGGGTTATACGCTAACACAAGAGTTAAAATGACATAGACAATGTAATATTAGTTATTTATTCTATCATTTATTTCCAAATATTAAAATAAGCCTAATTTAAAGCAGATGATAACATTAGTTCATATTCAAAGTCTCTTTCATGTTCTTCAAGTTGTTCTTACAAGGGATGACAATGGTTTAATGAGTAGTGAAATCCACCATCTATCTCATCCAACAAAAAGTTTGTTGCAATATTATTTATTCATGCAATTTACCTATTTAAAAATTACTCCAGATTCTTTTATATATGTTGATACTTGTTAGCTTTTTTTCTCGGGATGTCGTGTTATTAGGAATTTGCATATATAAAATAATTCTAAATTTAATTAAATTAAACAATAATTTTAGAGAATGGTAATATGATTGAAATAGAACGATTAAAATAAAAAATAATAAGGTAAACTATTGAATTGGATTTTTCTAATAACATATTTGCAGTCTATTATTTGTATATGTATGAATTTCACTCTCATTTAAAGTAATAAATATTCAGTCTATATTAATTTCTTAATAATGAAGTTTTAAGAATTTTAAGCAATCAATTAATTCCTTAATAAACTAGTTAAAATTTGTACATTAAGTACAAACTTCATATATATATATAATCTCAACTTTTGTTTTTAGCTGTTAAAGTTACAAATTAATTTGAATTAGATCAAAAATAAAATCACTTTCAATGTAAATATATTCATATAATCATGAAGTCAAATTCTTCTAAATTCAAGCCTTAAACGAGGGAAATCAATACTAGAGAAATAAATTATATATATATATATATATATATATATATATATATATATATATATATAATAAGATTACAAAAGTGATAAATAGCTAATCCAAAAATAGAGAAATTACCAACACATGATGAGAGAAATCCTAAATGTATAAGAAGGAGAACTCAAATTCAGTCATCCTCTATTCTCTAACCCTAGTTCCTGGAAGTGTACTCTCTTTTTCTTCTCATATCCATTTATCTCTTCGGGTTATTCTATTTATATCCAAGGAACTTCGCATCCTTCTAGTTTATCTACTTAACGCTTCTGAATTCGCTTAGTGAAATGAGGTTTCTTCGTCTTGAAGGTTTCCATCCGCTCGACAGATTCCTGATTGTTTAGCGCTTTTACCTTTTCAAAAAGGTTTGCTCTCTAACGTGAATCTGCTCAGCAAATTCAAAACTGTTGAATAGTTTTTGTTCCTTAAAAATTGTCTTTTGTATCTGATTTTCGCTTAATGGATGAGAATTCGTTCAGCTCTTTAAGCCTAATGTTACTCTCTCTTGATTATTACTTGCATTTTTACATACAATTGCATAAGTTTGATGGTTTACTCTTTAATACTCAAAATGTGAACAATTAGATACTAGTGAGAGTTTTTACTTCTAATTCCTTAATAATTACATGAGATAAATATTATGGATGATAAAACGGGTCAGTTTACCCCATTTTGACCTGCAAAAAATGTGAGGCGGGTTGACCTATTGTAGTCATGATGAAATATAGACCACTGATCAGTCTCGTCAAAAAGCGGATTGACGAGCGAGACCCACCATAATTTAATAAAAAATAATTTATTTTTTAAAATCAAAATTTTCAATAAATTTAATAATAAGATTATTATTTGTTTGTCAAAAATTCAACATATATATATATATATTAAGTTAATAATATAAATCAATATATTATTTTAGGAAATTATAATTTAGAACAATAATAAAATTTATATAATAATAAATAATAACAAATATATAAATAATATCAAAACTTGTAAAATTTATTTTTCTTATAATGAAAAATTAAAATACCTATGTTTTTTTATTTGAAAAAACTTTACATTGTTTTCCCTTTGAGTAATTCTTACCCCTTTAATTCAAATCATAAGGTTAAAATAATTAGTGTTTAGGATCAACAAGGAGGAGATGATGAGCACCAAAGAGAAAAGAGGAGCTTGTGTTTGAGTAAAAAAAGTATTTCTTATAATGAGTGAGAGTAGGACTTTATAATTTTCTTTTTATAATTTTTAACTTTATATATTATCTTTATGATTAAATGTATTATAATAAAAATTTATTTTTTATTAATTAGGCGATGGTCTGTCCCATCCCATGGACTAGTCAGACAGGTTGGTGGGTTTGGCAGGACGGGTCAGAGCGGACTTACGGACTGAAAACATCAACCTATCTCGCCATATTACAATGGACTAGCAAGTTGTCCCGTCGGCCCTTTTCATTTTGTCATCCTAATAAATATCATAATTAACCATAAAAACATTAATATTTGACACTTATCATTACTCCTTAAAATATTTGTAAATTCTAAATAAAATTATTCTTTAATATACATAAGCTTCAAAATATTTTTATTCTAAAATACATAAAATTACATCCTAAAACATTGCTATACATAAAATTAGTCTATTTAGAAAAAAAATTATATTATAAAACATAATTTTAAATATTTTTATTTTCAAAAACAACTTTACTTTCACAAGTTTATATGAGAACACATGGATAAAAAAAATTTAAGCTGAACAACTTTGCAATTATTGATATTTTTTTCATCAACAATTTTACTTTTGGTCACTTATTATCACTACAAGAAAAATGACATTTAGCCACCGAAATTAGCGACCGAATTTTTTCGGTCGCAAATAGCGACCGATTTAATTTTGGTCGCAAATAGCAACCGATTTAGCGACCACTTTAGTTCGGTCGCAATTAGCGATCGATTCAGCGACCACTTTAATTCGGTCGCAATTAGCGACCGATTTAGCGACCAAAATATGAATTGGTTTTCATTTTGTTATTTAGCGACCGAAATAGCGATCAATAATTTGCGTCGCAAAATTTCGATCGCTAAATCGATGGCTATTCCACACTAAAATAAAAAAATCATTTAGCGACTGATTTAGCGACCGAATTACAAATTGAAATAGTGACTCGAATTATAATCGGTCGCTAATGAGAAAATAGCGACCGAATTTAAATCGGTCACTAACGAACATTATTTTTTTATGATATTTAAATTTATTTTTTTATAAATATACTTTAATTGTTTTAGTATGTTTTTGACAATTTATTTTTTAAAAGTAATTTATTTTCTAAAAATAATTTAATTTTTAAAAGATACTTTAAAAATAAACTTTGGTCTCAATATTAACAAAATGAAGATTAACTTTAATTTTAAATTACTAAAATAAAAATATTATTAAAAATAAATTTAATTTATTAAAAATTTAAATTGTAATAAATTAAGACTAGAGTAATATTAACTATTCAATACATTGTTTAAGAAAAGTTTAATAATAAATATTCTTTAATTTATTTTTCAATTGAAAATTTCAATTGAAATTAAATTATATTTTAAAAATTTATATTAAAAAAATTAAACACATTAAATGATCACATTTTAATTCCTCATTAACTTAATTAATTAAGAAAATAAAATTTTAATCAAATTATTACAATTTTATTTTATAAAACTTTATTTTATAAAACTTTATTTTTAATCTAATCTTTAAATTTATTGCTTTATTATTATTAATTACTTAACCATGGTTATTTTCATATAATTGATATACAAAAAAATTATATCAATATACATTAGATAATCAATATACATTAGTTTAAGTATACTAATTAATATTTTTTTATTTTTAACATAATTAATAACAAAGATTAAAAATAGATCGCTAGAAAAGTTAAAAATTTAAAACTAATCTATTTTATAAATACTAAAAATAAAGCATATTTAAATAAATTAAAAATATATTTAAATTTATATTTGAAACTATATAATAGCGGTTCCACGTTAACCGCTATCTAAACTATATTTTAGATAGCGGTTAAGGTTTAACCGCTATTAGATGTTCTGTTTTAAGAGCGGTTCCAGTGGAACCGCTATCATATACAACCATTATGATTGATTAAATTTTCAAATAACTGATCATATTGGATAATTTTTTCAAATAATTAATTATAATCGATTAGTTTTCTAAATAATTGATTAGAATTGATTAGTTTTTCAAATAATAGATTATAATTGATTAATTTCTCAAATATATATTAAAAAATTATAAATAAAAATATAAATTACTTAAGAATATTAATTATTGTATGAAAGTGATGAAGATCTTATTGAAACACTCTGACAAAGATCTTATTGATTTGATGAAGTAAAAAATAAAGTCAAAGTCAACTTTGTAGCGGTCAACAGTCACTTTGATAAAAGAGTAGAGGAATTAGTGTGTCTTCAGCTATGCTTAGGTATAATCATTTTTATCTTTTCTGCTGCATGAGGTTTCTTCACTTAAAAGATTTTGCAAAATGCCTCTAAAT